GCAGTGTCCAATGTATAAGTAAAATATATTACTGTATAAACATGTCCACAGACAACCACTCACATTTAACAGGTATTGGTAAACGAAAGCATTTCCTCTCACAAACATGTATGCATGCATAACCCCCATACACACATAACCACGCACACAAAAAAGACAATTACAAGTATTCACACATATATATTCATTAAAGAGACAAATGACAAAGTACTATATGATGTGTTCACAGACACAAGCTAGAAGGTTACCTGATAACAGACTCAGTCCACAGAGAAAGAACCGAAGTACCCATGATGGAACCTGAACAGTTTAATCAGACTTAGACTAGTAACATGACTGTCAGACATGTGGACCCTAGGGAGTATCAGCACTGTTGTTAGCTATGTAAGTTTTGACAAAAGTAATTATCAAATATATCTTACACTGCTCACCAAAGATCACTCAGATCCTCCTTGTTGGGCACTATGCTTTTTGTACCACACGCAACCCTGTCAGGTCTCTCCTCTTGCTCCTGCCCAACTTTGCTTGCACCCCATGTTCACAACAATGCGTGTGCACCCATGGACAATGCCAAAGCTTAATGAACACTGCTTGATCATATGAACAGGTCTTAATGCACTAATGAACACTGAAGTTATAAAAGTTTATATTCATTACTTTGGTTTCATAACACCTTTTTTTCATTACCATGATCAAAATGGTTTTCTGTTTCACAAAATATAAATAATATTATAAACCAGATGAGATTGTCCTCAATGACATTGATATTATAATTAATAACTGCTATAAAAGTATGCTATGTTTAATACAAATACAAATAATAATATCAATATTGACAACAATGACAATAATAAATAAATAATTATTATTTGAATAATGACAATGTAACAATAACAATTATAATAATAAAGATATTCAAATACTTGGATAATATATTCGGCCAAATAAAATACCATGATGCATAACATACTATTGCCAAAGTATGTCATACATATATTCCTTCTAAAACAAAAACAAATATTTTAAAATTTTCATGCATTATTATCATTAGCCATGTTCCTTAACTATATCAATTACACACCATACTGACAAACTCAGTCTGAAAGTTTAACAAACTCATTCTGTACAGTGAGTGTGAAGGAGGAAGAAAGGAAGAGGGGAAAAGCAAACAAAGAGCAGGGAGAGGAGAAAATTCATGGAGGAGATGGAAGACAGAGAAAAATAAGGGAGAAAAAAGGAGAATAGGGAGAAAAAAAGGAGATGGAATTGTAAGGAGGAGGCCTAAATAATGGCAATCTACATTAAAGGCACAGAGAAAGAAAAGGATAGAAATTAAGTGCAAAAGAAAATGAAGAAAAGCAAAAGAAAAGTTAATACCGTAGATAGAAAAGAAAATGTGATATTCCTGCTTTATGAGGTTAGTTTGTGAATTAAGCTCATACTGTATATTACTTCTAAAATATTGTACAAATAAATATAGGAGACATAGTACTGAACATTTTGTATTACTGTATTGCATGACAATATGTGATTCAATTATTAATTTACATAAGGAGAATTATAATATTAATATCTAGGATTGTGGGTGTGTATACTGGCTACACTCAACAGGCACTAATAGACAGACAGACAGACACACACACAAACACACTACAGAGAAAGAGATATAGATAAAGAAGGAGAAAAAGAGGGAGGGACGGAGAGAGTGTTCGTGCTGGAATTAGGGTTTCAAGTCTAAAATGGCCTCTTAAGACTTCCAAAATGTATATCTGCAAATCTGAATCACAATCTATGTTTGATTAATATAAACCAAGTGAAGTTTTATTGTCTTTAGTTGCAGCTCTTATACTGTCTTATCTTCAGTTAATATTAACCATTTAGCACCTTTACAACTTCACATGGGATTAGGCCTCATGATGATACCTGCACATAAAGTTACAGGTACGACCACACAAAATTCATACTCAAATATTCCAACACACATACACACACACACATACTTTTGAAAATAAACATGCACTCATGGTAAGTTTCTGTAAACTGGTTTAAATAAAACTCCTGTTACTTATTCATTCTAAGACAATTTATTCTCTATCTATTTTTTAACGATATATATATTTTTCCTTTTGTAAAAAAATATGAAGATTATACATAAAATATCAAATGCTGAGTACATGAAAGAATATCACTATTAAATAAATATTATCTTGTACCATCATTCATAAGATTTTCCTCTTGGTTTCTACTACCTGCAGCATTCCATGTATTATCATGTAAAACATTTGATCTATTTAAAAAATCAACATTAACATAATAAGGAGATGGTTTCTGACTAAGCTGATTACCTGTAAAGCCTCCCTCTCCCACTCGACTTCCTTGAACCTTCTCCTGGCTTTCGTCTAAGCCCGGACTGCTGAGATACGTGGCCTCTTTATGCATTGCTGAGCTGAGTCTGTGTGTGTCATCCGATAGATTATTTTGGAGAGCCATTCTCTCTTTTGGAAAATTCCTGTGGGCTCCGTGATCATAGTGTTCAGAGCCTGACGAAGAAGACAGGGTTGGTGTACTGTGGGAGTATCCTAAGCCTCCTTGAGATAATGTGGAGGGAGAATAGGAGGAAAGGGGCCCCACGGGTGAATTATGCGGGAAGAAGGGACTACGACCTCCTGAACTTTTGGCAGAGGGATAAATATGGGGATACGTAACATTGACATAATGAGGTGAATGCGATGGTGAGCTAGCAAGGGCTCTGGAAGAATCGTTCAGCAACTGCAGTGTGGTGGAGCTGCGAGTCCAGTCATCCTTAAAGACCTGTAATTGAAGATAGAAAATTGCTGGAAGGCTATTAATTACCTAATCTAAACTACAGGTGGCCAAAATTTGTCATCATTAAAGTAATGATTATTGAAAAAAAAAAAAAAGGCCACTAACGGACTGCAAATATTAATGACATTACATAGCTGTCCATACTGTAGATGGGGTTAAACCCCCCAAAAGAGAAGGAAAATCTTACCTGAACTGTCAGTAATGGCACCAGAGGTGCAAGTCTTTCACGTACATGAGCTAAGACCATCTGCTCATTAGCATCACGTCTAATACGAACATGAAGGCTTCCTGTTAGAATAAATCCACTGTGATCTCCTAAAGCAGACAGTGAACCACGAGAAGGATCGCTTAAGCCCAATGTCCAAATATTCTCATGACGAAACTCAAGCACTCCATCAAGGGTGAGTGCTTCTCGCAGGCATTTGTCTAGTTGTGCAAACACACTGACTGGGGTTGTCTGTGAAAATAGGGAATAAAAAAGTTAAGATGAAATACTAAATCAAGGCATATTTTATCCCTTTATATAGGAAGTCATATATATATATATATATATATATATATATATATATATATATATATATATATATATATATATATATATATATACATACATACATACATATATACACAGATAGTCCCCTACTTAAGAACATTCTACTTATGAACATTTCATACATACAAAATTTTTTAAGTACTAAAGTCAAAAAAATTGTTTGAAAGATGCTAGCAAACTTCAAATTTCCCGGGCACGAATACAGTTCAAGAGTCTGGTACTGTATAAGGTATGTCGTAGTTATTGGGATTTATTTACAGGTATTCTTAATGTAAACAAAACTTTAAAACAATGGAAAAAAGGTAATGGAGACCCAACTTTTGACATACAAACAAATCAACTTACAAACAGCCTCCCGGTCCCCATTATGTTCTTAACCCATTCGCGCCGGGTAAAAGTGAACAAAAAATGGGGAAATGCTGTGCTCATTTTTTATATTTTTTAATGAAATTTCTCTACACTAGATGGCTCTGCTTTACCGGATTTCATTTGGCGGGAAAATGTATTTTTACTTGTGCTATGAATATCGATGGTTGTTTTTATTATAAATATTATAATTACTATAATGTTATGAACATTAGTAACAGCAAAATATGATAACACAAAATAATTTCGTAAATTAAAGAAAAGGGTAAACAGACGAGACAGGCAGTACAAGTGCAAGTGGAGCCATCTATGTTTGTAAACAATCAAACAAGTAAACTCACAGTGGGCCCGTCACGTATACGTGACGCCCGGCGCGAATGGGTTAAGTTGGGGACTTGCTGTATATATATATATATATGTGCACACATATCTATATATATATATATCTATATATATATATATCTATATATATATATATTATATATATATATATATATATAGATATATATATATATATATCTATATATATATATATTATATATATATATATCTATATATATATATATTATATATATATATATCTATATATATATATATCTATATATATATATATAATATATATATATATATCTATATATATATATATCTATATATATATATATCTATATATATATATATTATATATATATATATATCTATATATATATATATCTATATATATATATATATAATATATATATATATAGATATATATATATATATCTATATATATATATATTATATATATATATATATCTATATATATATATATCTATATATATATATATCTATATATATATATATATATATCTATATATATATATATATTATATATATATATATCTATATATATATATATCTATATATATATATATTATATATATATATATATTATGGTGATTAAACGATTAGACAAGGGCAATTAGACTCAATTGAGGATTAGAAGGGGCTTTTAAATTATTTCCATCGATAAACGAGTGTGGAAAGAAGTGTCTGGGAGCTGTGATTGGAAGAGCGGTGGCTCCAGGAAGGATGCTATTTCCATGTTCAGGATCCTATTCCTGGCCACCATGCCAGCGCCACAGGTTATATTACAGAAAATTTAATATTAGAAAAATCTTAAAATTATACAAATAACAGTGTTATTTATTGTCAATATTCTAGCACTGAGTTATGGAGTACCTAGAGAGATGACATGGAGTCTGTACAAATAAAATAGTATATTACCATCTGGATAAAGCATATCATATCACAAATATGGACATTGGAAAGTGACCAAAAATCTATAAACACTTAATCACAAAAAGATAAAATAATATTGCAAAGGGGAGACACAGAGTCTTGTCACTGCACATGAGTGTTTATGTGCGACCTGCCTACAAGCTGCACACCTGTCACATAAGCTTAATGCCTGCATTTTGAGCTACATGATAGCGGTGAAACATTCCAGATCCAATGGTTTAACCCCTACAATCCCTATGACACAACCATCGCATCATGAAAGATTTGGCTTGAGGGGCAGGTGATGTGAACATGCCATCACTGGAAAATTTGACTAAGAGAAGTTGCCATCATGAGAATTTCAGACGACAGGAATGACCCCCCATGAGTACAAAAAGCTCTTAGAGGGTGATTAGATTCATTGAGCATTTATCAAGGAACCATTACATTATTTCCAGAAAATTTTAAAACGAAAAAAAGGGACACAACGAAACGTTACTTATCTTCATTATTATTGAACCGAAATGTGAACTACCTAAAGAGATGATATGGAGTCTGTGCCAGGAAAACAGTCTATTATCATCTGGATAATGCAAGTCAAATGACAAATACTGATATTGAAAAAAGGCAAAAAAAACAAAAATGCTAATTCAGAAATAACTGTAAACAGGAGGCACGGGCTCTTGTCACTGCACATAAGGGTTCTCATGTACTCAGCTTACAAGCCATGCACCCATCACAGTGGCTGTTCATGTAAGCCATATGCCCGTATTTTGGACCACATGCAGGCAGTGAAGCATCCGGATCCAAAGGGTTTAAGTCTGATTTTATCTTTTGTGACAAATAGGTATTATGCTAACAATGACAGTGGCATTAGTTATCATTCTCTTGGTCTGTACATAATTTTTACAAATGAAGTTGTCTTTTCTTTCATAAGAACTAGAATTCCCATTCTTTCCTTAATCTATCTATCTAATTGCCTGGTTTGTTTGTCTGTTTATCCATTAATCCACTGGTCATGGTTTTATGTACTATCCACTGTATTTTTTTGTGAATAAGCATAATAGCACAGAAAATTTGTATTGAGGGGATGCTATTATGCTTATGCATAATAAGCATCACCTCATTACAAATTTTCTGTATCAGATTTATGTATCCATCAACTTCATTAATTTTGCCAGGTATTTATCATCTCACTATGGAAATGAAATGATGATGAGGTACATTCCATCAGTATAACTTACCTGGAGTAGGATACTGGCAGAGCAAACGCACAGTGGAAACATGGTGGTGATAGTGAGGATTGCAATGATCAGAGCTGCTATGCTATCTGCTGCCTGGTAGTTACTGTGGAGTGAAAAGGGTGAAAAAGGGAAGAATTAACCTTCTATTACAAATAATCTGGTAGCTTTGCTTGAAGTTCTTGACTTTCTTTTTTTTCTTTCTTTTTCATACTTCACATGAAACATTTTATATACACATGTGTATATGTTGATATAATAAGTGATAACCCAAACACTTGCTATATGTAGTGTCAACTAATAAATTTGATAAAATCTGGAAAGTTTCCTCCAGTCAACACACTATTTCTCTTCTACAGAATACAGAAAAGTTAATAATACATTATCATAGAGTGTTTACATTAACAGAGTTGTGGATTAACCCATTGCCGCCGGGGAAAATGAACAAAAAATGGGGAAAATGCTGTGCCTATTTTCTATACTTTTTTGTTAAATGTCTGCCCATAGATGGCTCTGTTAGCGCCAGATTTGAAATGGCGGGAAAAGCGTATTTTTCACTAGTGCCATGAATATCGATGGTGTTATTTCTATCATAAACATTATAATTTTTATAACGTTTTTTAACATTAGTAACAGCAAAATAAGATAACGTAAAATATTTCGTAAATCTAAGTAAAGGGTGAACGAGCGAGACGGGCGGTACTCGTAACTGGCTCATTGGTGATTTAGACAAGTGTAGCCATCAATGTGTGAAAACAATCCAACAAGTAATCTCACAATGGCCATGGCATGGCATGCCCGGCGGGAATGGGTTAACCTACATTTACATTTTTCACGGTCAGGAGATAAATAAATTTAGTACTGGATGTTTTACTTCATCAATAACCCTTAATTCATTTCTATAACACAGCTTAAAATATTTAAAAACAAATAACTCAATAAATTAATGAAAAATAACATACAAGGCTAAATCCACAAGGAAATACACTTAAAGAATCAATACAATACAAATCAAAGAACTTACTATATCTCCAGGATGATATTGTCTCCAATGATTGCCAAAAAACCTGCAATTGATATGAGAACCACTGGATTCACTCTTGGCAGGAGCACGCGTGACAGGGCTGGCACATAGTTGCAAAGACTGGAGGAGAGTTATGATAAAAATTATTTTTATTCTCTAAGCAGAAACACTCAAACTGAAATGTAATAAATGGAATGCACAAATTCAAAGCAAAAATAAAAAATATATAT